TACAAATGTCCTGTATAGATGAGTCACAGGAAATAAAACTGTTCTGGTGTTATATAAGGAGTCTCTTTCTTCCTCTCTTCTCAGGTACATACACACTAAGATACAGAGCGACCTTCACCCACCAGATACAAAATACATCTACAAATATGCACAACACAGATATGTAGACACACAAAGCCACACATACAGGGGGAAAACAGGAAGGAGAAAAATACCAACAAAAAAGAAGATACTTAATAGTAAGAGGTGTCAAGATTTTCTAAGTCTATAAAATTCATGGTTATAGAAGAATACAGAAAATGAGGAAAAGAAGGGATAAGATGTTAAGACAAAGACTAGAAAACCTCTAGTTCAAAACCAGAAAACCTCTTCTTTCGTGACTGCACAGTGCGATATCCTGACTCCTGCTACTAGACCACTCCCACCTCAAGTACCACTTATTTGCTTATAATTCTGCCTCAACCAGGAACTTACGAGGCCCTCCCATATGTATGCCAAAGGACAAGGACACAGCATGCTCATCATAGCAGCCCCCAAACCCAGCACAGAGCTTGGCATACAGCTGCCTGTGATAAATGTATACTGAGCACATGCCAGGATAAGAAGAGGCAGGAGAGGAGGAGGGACAAAGAGTGCACAAAGAAGGAAACAGATCTCTTGTCCCAGATCCCTGGTGTAAACTAAGAATAAACAAGCTTAAGGTAATGAGGGTCAAAGCAAAACAGAGAAAGTTAATCTCCCTGCAGGCATCATTAACTGTATCACAGGGAGCAGAACCATGTAGGGAAAAAGAAGGAAAACTCTCCAGATCTATGGGCAGGGGCTGAGTGGGAAAACTGATCTGGTGCTATAAAGGCGGTTTGAAGTCATCAATCTGGTCTCACCACCTCCTTGCCTGACCCTCTCCAGGGGTCCTCACACCCACAAGACCCTACCCCATCCAGTCCCTTCCCAGACTTTATCCCTCCAACCTCCACACACTTTGTGCTCAAATTATGCCAAACTCACACAACATGCTGTGTCATTCCTCTCAGCCTGTTTCACCCAGTTAACCTCTACCTGAAATGCCCTTTCTACCTACTGACAAACCTGTTTATCCTTCTCAACTCAGCTCTATTATGTCCTCCTCCTCCTGCAGGGAACCTCCAGGCTCCCATGACATGCAGTGCACTGAACCATCTTAGCTCTGTGTACACTTCACATCCTGGCCCAATGATAAGCGAACCTCTCTCCCCGCAGAGAGTAAATTCTCTCTCTCTCTACCCACAGCACCTAACACACTGCCTGAGCACACCACAGGTGCTAAATAAATGCTTGTTGAAATAGACTGAGCATTGGCAAGATTCCGGAACATAAGTGTTAGAAGACTTAGTTAAAAAGGGGAAACCAAGAGGCAACTTGATACAGTGGAAACCCTGAGAGTGGAGCTTGGAGTTTAAACCAGTAGAACGACATAAGGTAAGTGACTTCAAGACCCAGAACCTGTTTTCCTGATCTATGAAACAAGCACATTACCACCCAACGTCTACAACTACTTTTGAGGAAGGCACCCACTATACACCTGGTAAACAGTAGGCCCTCTATACTCTACTTAACTAGCGAGACTCTACCTCCTGTCCACATCTACCTATTTTTCAGTCTCCCATTTCCGACCATAAGTTCCTCCAAGTCTTTTGCCCAGATCCCTAGACGGCCGTTCTGGACCCAGTTTATAAAGACTGCCTGGCTGGCCAGGAAATCCCCCGGAGGTCTTCTTCTGTGTCCCTGGGCCAAATCCGTGAAGAGAAAACTGAAGGCTCCCACGTCACAAAAAACCATGACCAAATAAATTTTCATGTGCCTTTTCTCCTATTGATCTGCTTTTGTCAACTGATTTTCAGTGAACCTTCAGAGTGCCACGGGGAAGTTTTCCCTTCGCCCCTACAGGGCTCTGGATCTAAGAGTGAGCCCATAGGGGGAGCCTTCTGGCTCCCTCACAGGAACCGACTGGGTAGGAGTTGGAAAAGCCACTTGGATTCCCATTTCCTCAACTCCCCGCCAATACCAAGACGTCTGTTTTTATAGGCTCTTTCGTGGTGTTCTGGGCACATTCAACTTGAAATGCAGCTGAGAGGCTCGGAAACAGTTAAAGGACAGGGGTGGCAGCCGCCCGGGAGGCTGCAGGGCGCTCGCCCGCAACCCACAAGCGCGCGCAGCGCACCCGGCCGCCGGCCTCCTCAGGTCTGGCCTGGCAGCTGCGGGAGGAAGGTCAACGCAGCCGCCACACTTCTCCTGGGCGCTGGCACCGGCCGACCATGCCGCCCGACCCAACCTCCAGCGACTCTCCGGCAGCGCCCGCAGATCGCCAGCCCCCGGGCCGCCCGTCCGCGGCACCCCCTCCGCCGCGGGAACCTCGCGCCTTGCCTAAGTTGGGAGCCCCGCTCCGCAGGCGAGCGCGCGCCCACCACCCACACCCACTGCCACTTAAGCACACCGCGGGTCCGGAGATGCCCCCGAGCGTTTTAAAATCCAGAAACATCGCATGGTAGCCACATCCCGCGGCTGTTACCTGCTCGCAGCACCCACAACCTCGCCGTGGTTTCCCGGAAGCCCGCAAACACCACACGCGGGCTGAGCGCCCTCCCGCAAGCCACTGCCCCGCGCCAGCGCGCCGCCAAGCCGCCTACCTTGGGGGTTTGCACTTCAGGTCCCGTCGGCACCTCCAACTTCCTCTTGGTTACCCAGAAGAACAGCAGCACCGTGATCCAGAGCACCCCGAAGACCGGCAGAACCAGGCGGCGAGTCAGGCGCCGCATGGTCCTCTTTGCCTCTTCCTCTCCGCGGCGCTGCGTCCCTGGGGCACCCCCCTGCGGTCAGGGTTGGCGGGGCAGGAGTCCCGGCGAGCGCCTCGCTCTGGGGAGCGCTAGACCCAGGATCCGGGTGGAGGGGCGGCGGGATTCCGCAAGGCGCCCTTCCCGCTTCTGAGAGAAGCGAGCCTGGGTGGGGGGCGCCGGGCGGCCCGAAACCTGGCAGGGAAGGACCGAGGGCAGCCAGGCTGGACGCCTGCTCCAGCCGCAGAAGCGCTGTGGCTGCCGAGATGTTCCCCACGCCGCCACCGCGGCTGCCGCCGCCGCCTCGCCCGCTGCTGCCGATAGGGAAACTGACTGGAGCAGCGGGAGGGAGGAATCCGAGGCTGTGCCAAGCACCCCGGGAGGAGCACGAGGGTGGAGGGAGTTGGGGGGAGGGCGGGCGCTACAGACAGACTTACTCCGAGCGAGCCCAGGTGGGAGCGAGCGGGGCTCTGAGAGGGGGCGCTACCGCCGCCCGCCGACCGAAGTGCACGGTGCTGTTGCGGGGCCGCCGGCGCCGAGCCCTGGGCACAGCTGCCAGACCTTTGTGGGATGGGGCAAGGCGGGGCGTGGCGGGGCGGGAGCGATGCACTCGGGATGCCTGCCACCCCCAGCTGCCAGCTGGGACCCAAGGTCCGGCCCGCGCCAGGCGGCGCTGTGCCTGAGAGGACTTTCCGCTCATCGCGGGGGCTGCACGTGTTGCTCAAACCGGGGTCCCACCCTTAATGTACTAGTCCTACCACAGCCAGCGCTGGGATCCCAGGGCGTTGGCAGGGCTGCTGCCCCAACCCCGCGGTTCACTTGCCTGACCACTGAGGGCCAAGACCGTGTTCAGCCTACTCTCCAGGGTGTTTCTGTGCCTGCTTGCAGATGCCTGGTAACTTTTTCTGCTTAATGGAAAGCTGAGCTGGTCTAAATTTAACTTTAAAGATATCCTTTAAAAAAATTAAGGCGCAATTATCTCCCATAAAGGTTTTCTCTCCCTGTAAGCATCAGGGATTTGTGGTTGCAAGAAAAGAGGTCCCAAGTTGGACCAACCACTTGGGACTCTTGGGAAGTGCCCCTGGGCAGGGGGATACTGGGTGCAGAGGGTGATCTTTCAAAGGTCCCTTTTCCCAAGGGCCTTTGGGAAGGGCACCCCTACTCTCACTTGAAGATTAAAACCTCTTGGATCCAGAAGCAAAGCAAATTCTGACTCCAGTTCCTAGGTAGGCTCAAGTAGGCTGGAATCACGACCAGATCACCAACCAGAGAGTACTGACCTAGCTTAGTCAGACTCACTATGTGAGTCTTGGTTAAGTCATTTACCTTCCCCCAGCCTTCAATTCCTTATCTGTAAAATGGAGGGAAAATACCTCTTCTAACAAGCAAATGAGTAATTGGTGAAAGCTGAATGCAAGGTGCTGGTGTTATCCAAGCACTCAAAGAGGGGAAGGGAAAACTTGCTGTCTGGGGAGCAGAGGCAGCAGGAACCATGCCACTTTTGTTGGAGAGTTGCTTGCTTCCTGGAGTTTCTTGGGGACATGAGAATGATGTACCCACTGTGGCAGCCACCATCCTCCCTGCCTCTCTCTCCCCATAGAGCTCTGTAGGAGAAGCTCCTGTAGCTGTGTGCAGGTGAGACAGCTGTAAATCAGGGCTCCAGAATTCCTTCTCCAACATGTTTCCTCCAAGACATGTACTGAGAAATTGAGGTGTCTACTCAAAGCCTCTTGTGTTTGGTACCTTGTCTTTCAGCCACAGGGCAGTCCTGTCTCACAGTCCCAGAGAGTTCTTGAATGGGCTGTAGATAAGAAGTTGTGGACTGGGAACCACAGTTGAAATTAAACAGCCCAGGCTGGGCGTGGTGGCTCATGCCTGTATTCCCAGCACTTTGGGAGGCCGAGAGGGGCAGACTGCAATGTCAGGAGTTCGAGATCAGCCTGGCCAACATGGTGAAAGCCCGTCTGTACTAAAAATACAAAACCTAGCTGAGTGTGGTGGCACTTGCCTGTAATTCCAGCTACTCAGGAAGCTGAAGTAGGAGAATCATTTAAACCTGGGAATCAGAGGTTGCAATGAGCCAAGATGGCGCTATTGCACTCCAGCCTGAGCGACTGATCAATACGAGAGAGAGAGAGAGAGAGAGAGAGAGAGAGAGAGAGAGAGAGAGAGAGAGAGAGAGAACGAGCCCTGAAAAGGTGAGAGCACTGTTGCCAGCCCTTTCAAGATTTACCTGCACTCTAAAACCATCGCACAGAATGCCGGGGTTGATCTAGCATTTGCTTTTATCAGAATTCTGCACACTGAAAGGTTGGAGCAGGCTCCCCAGCCACTGCTTTGGTCCGGCAAAGGCCCAAGTAGATGACCATCATAGGAGAAGTTGGGGGAGCAGCAAGAGAACTCACCTCTGCAGCATCCAAAGCACCTTGGATCTCTTTCAGGAGCTTCGCCCTGGACCTGCAGGTTTGGGCCTGCAAAGCGTTCTGCTGCAGGCTCTGCAGGGGACCCCCAGGCAAGCTGCTAAGCTGCTGAGCTGCTGTTGGCTCCAGGCAGAAGCTGCAGCACAGGAGTCCATTGCTCAGCGCTTTGTGATGCTGCTTCTGAGTAACAGATGGCAGACAGTTACACAACACCGCCAGGCTTTTGAGATGTGCAGCAACACCACACTGCTCACCACACTGCTGGGATGCTGAGGTGCTTCATTCCGACTGTTAGGCATATGGGGAAACTGAGGCCCTGGGGTGAAGACAGCTCCATGCAGGACCTGGGAGAGTGGGAATTTCCTTCCAAGAATGATTCGCTTCTCAAATCATTATTTTGTCCTCTACTCAAGTTGGGAAGATTTCCTGGGCCTACGGAAGCTGTCAAGGGAATCCAGGTTTGGTAGGTGTCATTAGCTGATCCAGCCAGAGAGCAAATTAATCTGGGTTGTCAAACCAGTAAATGCCCTTAGGACTGAAGTCTATTTCAAGTGTTACTTCAAACATCTGGAAGTGAAGTGAGTGACCATATTGGACTTGGTTCTGTAGGTCTCTCCAGGTACCCAGTCTATCCAGGGGCCCCCATGCTCAGGAATATATTTGGAACTCTTTAATACTCAGCTTTAAGTGTGGGAATCATAGTGAGATCCTGTCTCCAAACAAACAAACAAACAAATACCCAGGAGTTAAATAGCATGTGTCTGCAGTCCCAGGCACTTGGGAAGCTAAGACAGGAGGATTACTTGAACCCAGGATTTTGAGGCTGCAGTGAGCTACGATCTCACCACTGCACTCCAGCCTGGGTGATGGAGCCAGACCCTTTCTCAAAATAAATAAATAAATAAACAAAATAACCAGCTTAAGTAATGCAGAGCATGGTTGATCCCAGTGGGGGATTAGCTATCATTGGCGATTAATCCAAGTTACTTTTTTCTTATCACAGCCAATATAAGGAGGAAAAGCTCCTAGCAAAATATTTAACATGGCAGGAGATGAAAAAAATACACTTTGAATTAGGACTCTCCTGGTGTCCTAAAACGCATCTACCTCCCTGTCTTGATATTTTTTAGCAAGCTCCTCATTTTTTGCTGCGTCTGTGGTTTCCCATCTGCAATGTCATGTTCTCTCAAAGACCCTCCCAGCTGACACATTTAGGTTTCTGACCTTCCTTGTCCTGGGTCAGGACCTTCTTTACCACTCCTGCTGGCGAGTTCTGTGTAAGCTGTTCTCCTCACAGCCGAAGACATTAGAGAGCAAATTGGGTACTGGAGCAGATGTGAGTCATTCATGTTAGTATAAAAACTATGGAATGAAACCCATTATGGCCCGGAAAGCTGTGTAAAGCAGCATATGGAGCAAATGCAAGCTGGAAGCAGGAGGAAGCTATGAAGTCCGATGCATATGCTCTGCGGCGGCTTTTGCTGTGGGTTCTCACACTTCGCTTCTCGTTTCCTGTAGCCGTCTCCCTGTCATTCTCGCTCAGCCCACTGCAGAGGCTGCAGCCTTTGTTCCTTTTGGATCAGATTCTCTGAGTCCCTCCTCTCTGCCCACTGTGTGACTTCAGGGAGGCTGTGTGAGCGCAAGTGGCTGTGTGTGTGCGGCTTGCCATCTGCACGCTTAGACCTGTCACAACCAGCGAGACACCCTCTGTGCCAACCTAATGAAATTTCACCCACAAAGGCCCAGACAGTTTTCTGTTGAGGTCTTTACCTCTTCTGGGCCATAGAGAAAGGTAAGCGGTAGCCAGGCGGATTGCAGTTCAGTGGGAAGATGAGTCGTACACATGTTGGCGCAGCCCTGGCAGGGTTCCCCAGCAGCAAAAAGAGAAGCAGTGAAAATTCAAAGATCTGTCTGTCTTTATTCCACAGTCCTACAGATACAAGTCTTTGGGCTGACTCCTGCAGTTGGCTCTGTTCAAGTTCTCCAGTGTAAATAATACATCAACCCCCCTTTCCTCTGTGTTTCTCTCCATTTTCCTTGCCACTGTAGAGCCTGTCAAAACCGCATGTCCCGGGCCTCCTGCAAGGCTTTCTTATAAAGTGAGTGATGGAATAGTTTAAACCACATGGTAAATGAGGTTGAGCTATTACCAATCTCTTACCTCATCTTTCTGCCACGTGTCGGTGCATCTTTGTCAAAAGAATAAAGCCAGCTGGCTTTTCCTCTCATCTTTGATGACTAGATGGGTGGCTTTATCTAAGGGATCTGACAGTCACCTTTCTGGATCTTTCTCTTTCCATTAAGCAACTCCTTTCACCACCCCACTACCCTCAACTCCTCTCCCTCCTTTTATTCTTATATACTGCTGTATAATTCAATTCTTTGAAAGGGATCTACATCTTTGCATTTCAAACGCCTGTTTCTTTTATTGTTTGAAATGTCCCAAACTTTCTTTGTTCCTCACCCAAATGCCAAGTGTAAAACTTAATATTACTACAATGATATGCCTTTGCTGGTTGTGTAAAATGGTTTGATCTTCAGTGATGGTGCCCTGTGGTGATCTGAGACATTTTCCTTATCTTGCCCCACACCCCCCCAAAAATGCAAAGTTCTAGCATGAAGGTGTGACCCAGTTTGCCTAAAGAAAAGTAAAAGACTGGGCGTGGTGCCTCACACCTGTAATCCCAGCACTTTGGGAGGCTGAGGCTGGCAGATCACCTGAGGTCAGAGTTAGAGACCAGCCTGGCCAACATGGCGAAACCCCATCTCTACCAAAAAATACAAAAATTAGCTGGGCGTGGTGGCAGGTGCCTGTAATCCCAGCTACTCGGGAGGCTAAGGCAGGAGGATGGCTTGAATCCAGGAGGTGGAGGTTGCAGTGAGCCAAGAGTGCACCATTGCACTCCAGCCTGGGCAACAACAGTGATACTTTGTCTCAAAAAAAAAAAAAAAAAAAAAAAGAAAAGAAAAAAAGAATAAAGAAAAGAAAAGAAATTTAAAAAAAGAAGAGTAAAGTAAAAGAAAATTAACATTATTCACTTGAATTATCTAGAGGAGAATCTAAAAGAGGGCAGCACAGGCAGAAAAAAACAGAGGAAACTAAGAACAGATGTCACTCCCCAGGTCCCCAGTTTCAGACAGCCAAATCCAAGAACCTCCTGCGTTATCTCTGACAAAGACAGTCTTTCCTGTTAGGCTTAAACTTAGAGCATGAGTGAAAGGCAGAAGTAGGCAGGAGAGCTCAAATCCAAGAAGGAACAGAATTGTGATGGGGCCTCTCCAATCTGGCTAGGACTTCAATAGCAGGAGGAGCCAAGTATACCCCATGAGTGGATGTGGGACAATCCAGTATAACCTCTAGTTAGATGGTAGATTTTGTCATCAAGTCACTACCAGATATTGCACATTGAGCAGGGTGACTTTATGCTCAAGTTTTCTTGGGAAAATCCTGGTTTATTCTCATTTTTCTGGCAGAATTAATACTGCTTCATTTTACTTTCAAGAAATTTCAATTTTAAACAATAAATTAGAGGCCACTCTAATGAACAGGAGGACTTCTGGTAATGATTATAGAAGGAAAATTGCTTTTCTTAGATGAGTAAAAATGTGGGTTTGCTATTTAAGTTGTTTTGTGTGTGTGCTGAACTTGAGATACTCTAAATGTCCACATGGGACATTATTCTAAATAAATAATATTCAAGATGATTATTCAAAGAAGAGATGATTTGGACAAATAAAGCCAGCTTTAAGTAACTAAGGAAGTAATTAGGTTGTGCATATCAGTCAATGACAGTCTTACCCCTTCCACCCAACTAAAGATGTTTTTACCCATGTTACAGCTCATGGAAGCAGCCAGGTAGCAGCAGACTCTGTCTGTGAAGAGCAAGGGATTCCTAACACCAGACTTCAATCATTCTTCCAACAACCTCTTTCTTTCACCCACATATCTACAGGGGCCATGAAAGTAACATGAATCAGTGAAATGGAATAGGTTCAGGAGGAAAAAACAGCATAACACCATGACAACAATGAAACTGATATTCAACCTTCATGTTGAGGACACAGGAGGGAGCATTGCAGTCCACACAGGACGAGCAAGGAATCAGCTCCAACTCATCATTGCCAGTGCCAGTAGAGTGTTGTCAGAGTTTCCCAACTTCTCAACAGAAGCATAAGTCCAGATGATGATGTGAAACCTCCTGGATTTTAACTGCTATCAACTAGTTCAACAATCCCTGCCACCAGCCCACCAAAACATTGGATGGGGTAAATAAACAGGTCTGCAGTCCAAATCCAGCCTGCTGCTTACCAGTTTGCAACCTCTACTTGAGCCACCAATGTTTCCATAAGCACTGAAGTTTTCCTGGTTTCCATCTTCTAATGTGGGAACAGATTTACCCAGCTAGGACAAAGTGGAAAGAATGCACCAGATTATATTAGGAGGGGCCTTGGACCCTAACATAGTTCAACACCCCTCATTTTGTAATTGAGGAAAGTGGAGCTAAGAGGAATTGCATGAACTGCCTGCAGCAGGGTGAGTTCATTGGTAAAGTGTGGGCTATAATACATCTACCTTACCCTACATTGCTCCCAAGTGACATCCTTCACTAGGTTTCACAGGACAAGTGAATCAGGGAGCTGAGACATTTCTGGAGGGGGTGGAGGGTAACTACTGCTAAGCCCAGAAGTTTCTAGGAAATGTGCAAAACAAAGAACAAAGACACTGTGAGCAAGACTCCGGGTAGTTTGCTGTGAGGAATACAAGTGAATAAGGCCTATTCCAGCTCTTCTAGAAGATGTAAGCAGGTGATTTGATCAAAGACTTGAGTGTTAAAAGATCTGGTCCTTCCTCTTGAGTTTCTGTTGAGTAATGTTGAGTCCTAGATAAAGGCATTTCAGTCCACCTGAGAAATAGCCACATTGCAACAGGAAAGTTGTTTCTGCAGCTATGCCCTGCACCTGTCTTCGGTTTCCCTCTAAGTGCTCTGCAAATGTTAATTAAACATAGATTATTTGAGAAGTGCTTTTCGTGTTTGAACTCAACTGGGCTGCGCCAGATGATGATATTAATATCATTCCCCTGTTGGCAGAATGCTGTTTTTTAAAATAAAAACTCTTTTCCTTTTACAGTTTTTGCCACACAGACAATTTATTTTGCACATCCTCTGGCTATTTCACCTTTTGTGTCATCATTTTCATGAGACAAGTGAAAATAATATTTCTCTTATGCTCCAAAGAGCCAAATCCCTTTTTCTAGCTTGATCCGAAGAAGGCCAGTTGTAGCCGTAATGGGAAAAAGCCTGATGTACAGTCCAAGTGCAAATCCTCAGGGAGAAATAATGCATCTCTTTGGGGGAAAAAATAGCTTATACTTATAAGGTAGGAGATTTTCAATTTATAAAGGTTTCCTATTTCTTTCAATTGCCAGGATAACTGCATTCCAGAAAGGTTGGGCTTCTCCTGTGTAAGGCAGAACTGCTCTTTTAGATCTGGGATGTAGATTTAAAAATGATGAGTGACAAGCATCCCTCTCCATGCCCTGGACCACTGCCCTGGGGGTTTTAAAGCAGTGCAGATCAAAGGGTTAAAATCCATTACCCAGAGAGATGGAAAAGTTCCTCTCAGTGATTTCTTCCCCCATCATTGCTCTCAGGCCTGAATTCCAAATTGATTTCCTTAATAACTATTAAATATCTTTTTAATTAAACCAGGCATCCTCTTCCTTGGCAAACTTTTCTTGATGACATCTCTGGTTAATTAAAGGTTTAAGCTGCAAAGACGTATTACATAAGAACAAGGGAAGCTGCTTTATGGCGCGCCAGTGAAGGATCCTGCTGATTCCTGCTGCAGAAGCCAGGGCTATACCAGAGAGCTGTTCTTGTTTCCCTTTACAGCATTTCCTTTCTTTTAGAGGCCCCAGAAAGTGTTAATAATAAAAATGGTTTGGTGAGTGGGGGTTAATTTTTCTGTTTCCTGAGGTTGAGTTTCTCCTTTCATGCTTGCCTGGTAAGTGTTCATCAAGTGTTTTTCATTAAAAACATCACTCATTTTGATCACGATTCACTGATGCTGACAAAACATTTTACCTTTTCATCCAAAATTCCTGAGGTAGTTGATACATTTGGTAATCAAAGAACAATGAATAAAAACCTCTTTTCACCCATCAATAACATGCAACCACCTCTATAATGGAATGTACCAGGTTCTAACAAGAAGAAACAATCATATTTTGTATATATGTTTACATATTTGATGTTGCACATATATATATATATTTGTTATTGTCATTGTTGTAAATTTCCCCAATTCGTTTACATTTTTCGTTTTCCTGGTTCATTTCTTTTTACCAGGACCCCTATTTAAAATGACAGAACAGAGTTTGTCACTATGGAATGGAACTTGTTTTCATGAAAAGTTAAATACCTCTTAAATTGGGAACCGAACCTGTGACCTTGACTTTGTTGTCATCATAGTTTAAAACACTGGGTCTCAAACCTAGATATACATTAGAATTATTTCTTGTTATTGCTGAGAGTCACACGCCACTGCCTTACCCTAAGCCTGCTAAAATTTAATGGATGATCTCTCTAGGCACCCAAGTTTGGAAACCACTGATCTAATCAATATCTTCCAGTCCAATCAGTTCTCACTGGCCTCCCCGGAAGTGGGAAAGATGGTGCGCTGTTTCAATATTTCAGTCTAAGAAACAAATCAGACCTCACCAGTATCGCACAGGAAAAGTGGCTCCAATTCTGATGAAACATCAAGGATGAAATTTAAAAGATTTTCTTTTCTTTTCCTCTTAAACTGGAACCAAGAGCACAGACAATCCCATGTCATAATCAGTCATGTGGAGAGACCACTCACAGACTGTCACTGGTCATAGTTCTATAGCTCTACATTAGTGGTTCTCAAAGCATTAGAGAGAATCAAAATCACTGGAAGAATTTATTTTACAGGGCACTTTTTTATAAAAATTTTCAAACATATGGAAAAATAGAACACCCACGCATGTAGTATAACCAGATTCAAAGAATGTTAATGTTTTGCCGTATATGTATGTGCCCACACATGCATGGGTTAGTAATCACTGAACTGTTAAAAGGTAAATTACAGATGTCATAATATATAACACCTAAATAATAACACTAAACAACCCAGAAGTACTTCAGCATGCATTTTCCAAAATTAATAGCATCTGCCAACATAACTGTGGCACCATTAACACACCTAAATGAATTTAAAATAATGTCCTATGATCATATAACACCAATTTTTAAGAAACTTAAGAAGACCAAAACAAAATAAAACAGCAAAGCTTCCAGGGCCGGATTCCTAAAATCTTTGATTCAGTTAGGTGATGCTTTGCAAAACACTACTGTACACAACTAATGAAGAATGCTTCTCTTTCCAATAACTGAAAGGAAGTTCATTTTTTTTGTACTTGAAAATTGCTTGGCTATTTGCATGGGACTTAACAGTCACAATTTTATTGAATGCTCTTGGCAATGCTACCCTAAGAGAGATAGAGTGATAATAAAACTGGGGCCAGTGATTGGTGAGACAAGCCCAGGTTTTCTAGGGAGCTAACCATGGTGGCTGTATTCCAACGCAGGTGTAATGGGAGGATACCAGGCTGGGAGTCTGAAACCGGAATTCTGGTTTTCTGTCAGCTCCTAACTCTGCCCATGTGATTTGGGGCATTGGACCAAACTTCTCTGGACTTTCATGTCTTCTTCTGAAAAGTGAAGAACTAAATCAGTGGTCTCCAAGAGACTTTCTATCTGGATATTCCTTTTTTTCAATATATTTCTGCCTTCTTTACTAAAACTCTTCATTCATCTCCATTTGGCCCCATAGCAAATTTATACAGGGGCTTATTGAGTCATAAAGGAAATAACCACTATTAGGATATTGGTGAGAAAGACATGAATTTGACAAAAATCTTACCACTTGCTATGGCCAAATACAGCAGAATGCTGGCTGTCTGCCTCTGATGCTTGCTGTCTTAAGCAGCCCATTAGAGAAAAGATGAGCCCCCACAGAAAGAGTTACAGGAGCTCAGGCCTCCTCTTCCTCACTCCCTTAAAAGAAAAATGCAAAAATCAAAGAGCACATCCTTGGCAAAGTCAACAACTCCTAAACATAAAGGATAAGTTCCATTAACTACTCCCATTTCATTTCACAGGTGATCCCTGCTTCCCCAGCCTTCCCTGTATAACAAGAGCTCAGTGTTTCCCCAAACCTTTACCAGGTCCACTGGCATCTCCCAGCGCTGGTCCACCACAGACCTGGGGGCTAGTGGGTGAGGACCAGAGCTATTTAGATTCTTTACCTGGGGAGACTTTCATTTCAGATGCATTGCGTGAATTTTTTACAATCAGAACGTAGTCACTCATTGCTTGTGTGATGAAAAATAAATAATTAAAATCCTTGAAGGCTGATGGGTTTTTCTTTGGACTCTCAAAGACAAAGTAATCTCCAGGGTGCAGCAAATGACCCTGCAGTTTTCACTAGTGTGTGGTGTGTGTGTGTGTGTGTGTGTGTGTGTGTGTGTGTGTGAGAGAGAGAGAGAGAGAATGAATTCAGGGCAAGGAGGTGGTATGAGATCCCATTTATAGAAACAATGGAAATGGCCCATTAATGCTAATACAACACCAATAATAATATCTAAGCACTTAGATATAGACCATGTGTACATTAAGAGGCAATACAAAAAGTAAGGTTAGAAAATCCTGGAAGAAACTGGGCTAGTACAAAAGGGTGCGAAAGATGTTGAGTAAAAACCAACTGCCCTACTTCATATTCTCTCTCTCAATATCTCTTTTTTTCTCTCTCTTTCCTTCTCCTGGCCTCTCATGACCTCTTTTATAATATTGTCTCTCCCTACCAGACATGGAGCCTCCTCATAACTTCACTCATGACATGCCCCTGCCATAGGTGCTCTGAGGCAATACAAACCACCTGGCTCATCAGTATACTAGTCTTCCATTACTGTTGCTCAGGACTCTGTGATGAAGATGAAGCCATCACCTGCAGCCTTTATGTCTTTTGAGTCTTTATACCTCCACACCTTAGTGACAATATTAGGCATATTGAAGATGCTCAACACTGTGGTTTTTCAATAATGTCTTAAAAACTGAGCCTTGCCTTCCACTTTGGTCTCCCTGCAAAAGGAAATATGAAGTGGGTGCAGGAAATAGAGCATCAACCCCACCCCTCAATGACTATGTCACTGCTGCAGCTCTGGTGGGCATGTGACTTATGTTTGGCTATCTCCATCTGAGCCACTTTCTATCTTGGGGGAATTCTCCCAATTTGATGAGAGACTTAAACAGCCTTTGCCAACAGAGTTGAAAACTACTAGTTACTTCCTTTCCTAGCCTCCCTTGCAGCTAAAGCCCAGATTTACACTCTGCCAATCAAGCTTTGGCAACAAACTTCTTACCTTAGAGCTGGTGAGACAAGAGAGGAATGAAACTAATGACAGAGGAAAGGTCTAATTCCTGGTGAAAAGAAGCACAGTGCTGGCAGCAAGAGCACAGTGCTGGAAGCAGACCAGCAGAGTTCCGGAATAGAAGTGGCAGTGGTGTAGATCCTGGCATTCAGTTCTCTGTGAGAGCAGCCATGGTTCCCTCACCACATCAGTTCTGCAGTCCGGTATTATGATCCCCTGTGGAAGCTTAGCCCTGGTTCTCTGTGAGCATCCAAAATTAATATTTTGTTCCTGCTTTATCAGCCAGGCTAATCTTCAGTTGCTTGCAAATCAGCATTTTTTTTCAAGACAGAGTCTAACTCTGTCATCCAGGCTGGAGTGCAGTGGGGCAATCTCGGCTCACTGAATCTCCACTTCCCAGGTTTAAGTAATTCTCCTGTCTCAGCCTCCTGAATAGCCGGGATTACAGGCTCAAGCCACTATGTCCAGCTAATTTTTATGTTTTTAATAGATACAGGGTTTTGTCATGTTGACTAGGCTGGTCTAGAACTCCTGACCTATTGATCCGCCCACCTCAGTCTGCCAAAGTGCTGGGATTACAGGCATGAGCCACCATGCCCCTCTGCAAATCAACATGTTTCTTATTCATCAAGGTACCAAATCTCTCTGAAGCTCAGTTTCCTCATCTTTAGAATGAGGT